GCTAGATCCACCATCATCACTAGATCCATCGCAAGATTCACCCCCGGATGACTGCTCAATCTGCTTGGATCCATCGCGGCTGATTTTGGTCCGGCGCGGCTTCGGCTCACGCTTTTCCTTCCCCATCATATCGGGGAAACTAACAGCAGGGGTTTTCTTCAGGATCGCGAAGTCGACGCACCACGCACACACCCACCAGATCTGCCTCCACACGCGACTGCGCCTGCTATTTTACCGGATTGAAGAGCGAAGTGTGAGAGAGAGGTGGTGGTGGTGGTGGTGCCAGTGGTGGTGGTGGCGCCGGTGGTGGTGGTGGTGGTGGCGGCGACGGCGGGGATAAAGGGAAGGGGGAAAAAATGGGTTGAAAGAGAGAGAGAGGTGAGAGAATGAATTAATTAGGGTTTGAAAATTGATTTAAATAAAAATTAATTTAAAAATTATTAATTAAAACCTGATTTATGTATTATTAAAGATGATTTTGAATTTATGAAAATGGTATTTTAAAAACTTGTGTGGGTGTAATTTCCTCCTGTATCTTTATAAGATAATTGAATTCATTTGAAGAACAGTGAGTTATAAAAGTATACATACTTCAAAAAAGTTCCATTGAAATCTACGGCAATAAAAACGAACTATTGCAGTTTTAAAACTAATTTTGTATGATTGAAGGTTTATGTAAAAGTTTCACTATTAGACTAATAGTTTTTTTTTTTAATAATGTTTTCAAAGAAGGAATTTTCAAGTTACTTTGTTTAAGGACATAATTAAAAAGTTTTTTCCCGTGCCTGAGGAAGGAAAAACACACCGACTTCGAAATGAAAAAATAAGACTAATGAACCCTTATTCAATATTTTCACATTATATATATAATTTCATAAATCTTTTTCATATTTAATTTTAATTTTCTTAACAATATCAATTACCTCAATTATTTTCTTTAAAAAAACATAAATAGTATTTTAAAAAAATTACGTATTTAATTTGATACATAAATAGTATTTAACCAAACATGTTTTTTATTTTGAGAAACCGTTTTTCAAAATGACAAATCAAATACGTTTTCTACAATATTAAAATAATCCCTCAAAATAGAAACCTGAAATCGAATTCAAAACTAAAACTAGAAATTGAAACAAAAAACACACGTATCCTTATTTTTTCAAAACTCATTCCCAACAGCACATTTCTCCATATAAATCGAAAATTTTTCATTCTTTTGACAACTTATACTTTTTTTTTCTTTAGCAAAATAGGGTCTTTATTCATTTTTGTGGTGTGTGTTACCTTCTTGCTTTGTGAGGTGCTGAACCCCTCTCTCCCTCTCTCTTTCTCTCTCTCTCCAAGTTTATCAGCAAGGTCAAATTCAAAGAACTCATTTTTTCTTCACAATTTCATCAATTAAACTCAAGATTTTTGGTAATTCTTGAAATTATAGCTGCCCACTTCATACTGTACAGTTATTGTGCTGACTAATTTTCACAGATGGCTTCAATTATGGCAAAGCTGCCTCCACCGCCGCCTGTGGTGGTAGATGGAAGAAAGCTGCAGTGTGGAATTGTGAAATTAGCCCTGCCTTCCATTGGAGGTATGCCACTTGTGCATTTCCTAATTTTAAGGTTGAATGCAATTTTTTGTGGATTTCCTGTTTAGTGCTTTTTCTATATATATAAATACCTGGGATTGTTGAATCAAATGCTTCGGAAAGATGGGCTTTCGTTTTTTGAAATCATGGTTCGATTCATATCTTTAATTTTTTGTTTTTGTTTTTGATAGTGAAAGTGATTAAGTAAAAGTAGTTGGTGGTGTTAATACTTATAATTATGGTTTTTAATTTACATTACTGATAATCGGACTAGTTCAGCTATGGAATCTTGGTGACTGAAGTAGGAAAATGGAACCGGCCTTTTGACGAGTATTGTTGAACCACTTAGTCTAAAAGCTGAAGATGAGGAGGGTCTTGTTTATTTGGCTCCCAACTGCCTAAGGCGCAACGAATAATTCTTGTACTTCTTGTACAATACCATTCCGTAATGCAGTGAACTTGGGAGCAAGTGTCACCCCCTTGTATGCCTTCCAAGGAGTCATAGCGTATTTTATGTTGCCATGGACAATGGGTTTACGGTTTATTACATGAATTTTCAGTGAATATCCACCATGAAGAGTCATTTGAGTGTGTGAAGCGAGAGGTCTTGGGGGTTTGTTTTCTCATGACAAACAATACCATGATTTATACAATGAGAATCGGCATGGTAAACACAATCAATGTATACATTTTTTCACACTACTATGAACTTTGTTACAGAGCGACAAGGTCGTCTTGCAGTAATAGTAAAGGCGACAGGTGAAAGCTCTGAATCGTCAACTTCACTGAGTGTTATTAAGAACGTTCAGAATCTTGTGAGTCCTTTGATCTCTCACTCTCCAACCCCCGTCCCCAGGGCTGAAAAAATAAATCATATTGAAAAAACTGCATTTTTTTAATCTAATGGGAGGCTCATAACTTTGTTTGATTGAGTAGTGTTGAGAATTCATCTTCCTAATCTCTCTGCCGTCGTTTTTTCTTGACTTTTGACCAGTGGGATAAATCTGAAGATCGATTGGCTCTAATTGGTTTGGGATTTGCAGCTGTTGTGGCTCTATGGGCATCAACAAATCTGATAACGGTAATGTCTTTGGTCCTTAATAGTAAAATTGCAAAAGGATGGGGGTAAGATGGCCAGTTAGCATCCCGTATTCATTTTCAAAGTGTACTGCCGTTTCTTATGAAAGATTGTCTGCACATTAAAATCTTTCTAGTCTTTCCTTGGAGAATTTTTGTGCACATCAACAAGATTAATAGTTCAACAAGGTCCTTTAGGCCGTTGCTTGTGTTATGATGTTTTTTTGCAGCATATTTTTATACTCGGATTGGGAAATTACTATTTTTAGCAAGACTAGAGTGGGCGTAGCCGACAGCCTCCATGGGTTGTTCTTTCGCTTTCGCGAACATGGACCATCTTCTTTTTTTGGTGGGCTTCTATTAATCAAGAAATCCTGCAAATAAAGCAAAAAAAATGTCTCCCATTGGACGTACATAATAAAAATGTTTTTTTTTTTGGTTCTTAATTGCGGTATAAGCTTAACCCACAATTTACTATATTTTTCCATGTCTGAGAGTATTCATGAACACTTCCATGGACTTGTCGTGGCTATTTTTAGATGTCTTTTTCTTTTTTTCTTTTTGTTTGTGTTCTTGATTGACTGGTTTCTTCTTACTGCTTTATTACAAATAGGGTTCTGATTTTCCTTGCTTATTGAAATAGGCCATCGACAAACTTCCTGTTCTCCCAAGTACACTTGAATTTATTGGGATACTGTTTTCGACTGTAAGTATTGTGGTTCCTGACGATACACTCCAAAGTTTATTATCCATTTTTGTGTCGGCTTATGCCCTTGTGCTTTTCCTGGTCGATTACTCACTTGAAATTCTTTTGGTTTCAGTGGTTCACATATCGGTATCTCCTATTCAAACCTGATAGGTAAGAAGTTCTTTTAACAGATCATATGCATTTCCTGGTAAATCACCATATAGTTAGATCAGATTCGGTAAAAGATTAGGTAAATTATTAGGTACAAGTAGAATTTTCCATTTGGTAAAGACCCGTCCCTTGCTTCAGTTATAGTCCTGGGGAAATTCTTGGGGAATCTCAGCGAGAACTAGTTGGAGCTTCCTCATCGTATCAAAATTCAGCATCACATCTTCGAAAAGTTTAAGCTTTTAGATGATCTAACGAGCATTGCATTCTACTTCAATTCAACTGATATTTGAATGCTTATAATGTGTTCTAACATACAGGGAAGAATTGTTTCAAGTAATCAACAAGAAGATATCCGATATCTTGGGCCAATAACTGGCAAGCTGGCGTGATCGTGTTGTATATCATCTAAATGTTTCAATTGTAGCTTGATAGATGTCATTGCAGCGACACTCTCTACCATTGTAACGACATATTATTGGATGAGAAAGTTAAAATTCTCCGTCGAGTTTACTTTTTTCGCATTGATATACCATTCATCTTATTGGTTGAGAAAGTTAAAAATAAGTAAATTAAGCACCCAAACATATTCTTAAAATTTACAACTAACACTTTTCTTTGTGGGCCAGACAGTCACGTGTATCACATTGAAGGTGTGAGAGGACACAAATTTGTAATATATCATTGGGTACACGGTTATCTATTGGACACGTGTTGACTATTTATTTTGGTAGATCTTGTGATCCTAAATAAGTATCTATTACACTCTGTAACAAAACATTGTCCCAGCATGGCAATTACAGATAATCCCAATATAGAAAACAAGAAAATATTAGAGTATATTTTCTTTGCTATTTTCGGGTCATTTCCAGTTTTCGAAAACATTGAAAACACGTTTACATATCTATTTTTAGAAACGAATTTTCAAAAACGAGTTTAAAATTTACAAAGAAAACAGATGACGCTAAGAAAATTCGCTTTGATTGTTTTCAGTTAAAACCAAATCAAATCAAACCTAAACTTCATTTTTTATTTTTTAAAACAATTTTTTTAAATGACAAAAGACGTATTTTCAGCAATCTCAAAATGGACACTTAAAATACAAAATTCAAAATGAATTCAAAATTTAAAATTGAAATACGAAGAGAATAGTTCCTTAAGTTTTAGGAATTGGTAAAAATTATATAAATGGCATTATTAAATCTAACATTAGGAAAGGAAAAAAAAAATCTAATTCACTCTTTTAAGACGATGTCGTTGAAGATAGTTATTTATAATGGTTGACGATAATCAATAATATTAGTATCGGAAACTTCATTAGAAATGATCGAATACTATAATCGATCACCAACATAATTTTTGTTGATGATTGTTTTCTTCATTTCATTTTGTAATTTTTGTCCCATTGTAATTTCCTGAATTCCTTGGACCGACACTGCTGGTTAGGAAAGTTGAATTACATTTACAGTATCTAAAAAATTTATATAAGGGTGCAGGAAAGACTAAAGTGGAACGCGGAGTAGCAGAACATAGTCTCCCCAACAACAAGGGACAGGTGTTTGCCTCAGAGTGAATCCATTTTTAAATGCTCCTTTTCTTGAAGTGCACTCTCTCAGACTCAGTTCACCACAAATACACTGTACTGTATCACCGTTCTATAACGCGCCAACGTAAATTCCGCCAAATTCCGCCGGACAACGGAAAGTAAAATCATAGCGCACGGCGAAAGTTAACATCATCCCCCCCTCTTTTTATACTCACTTGCATTCCACGTGCACCTTTTCCTCCGTTCTCCTTGGCGCACATTAGCCTACTTGACACCGAATCTCCTTTCACATTACACGGTACAGTAGAATTTGTATACGTATATTGTATGTATAGACTGTATTCACACAAAAATATTGCACGTGAATTTACGATCAGGTATAATTTAGCTGACGCGGATGCAATTTTACAATGTTGGTTCTGTTTTTCTGGACAGATCTCGGAGTTAGAATCTGCATTTCAATATTTCTTATTGAGCTTTTGATTTTGGTATTTGTTACTTTAGATGTTTGTGTCTACTTTGTTGTGTGTGAAATTGATTTTAATTGTGAATTTGTGAGATGATGGATGTCATTGGTGTATTCAAGCATTGATGATCCTCTGTGGTGTGGCAGGGTCGATTTGGACGCCTCTTGTATAACTGAAGTATGCGAGAACGTCAGCGGGACACCATTTTCATGTACAAGCGTGCATCCTCGAAAGAATATCCCAATTTCTTTGATAAAGAACAAAATTTAGGTTAGTCATTTTAAATTTCGATTTTCTTTGCTGCTTTGTCTTTTCATTTAGGAAATTCCATATTTAATATGATCAATCGCATAGAAAGGTGAGAGCTTGGTGAAATGGAGAAGCTAGTTGTCATATAATGTCGTGTTAAAGTAGTGTGTAATTGCAAGATTTCTCTGAGTTGTTTGAATTGATTTTTAGGCCGTTCGCCAAATGGTTTGTTGAAAGATATTGGGAACCCTTCTTGGAAGCGCCCTTTACCGCATATTCTGGTTGCAACTCTTTCGTCATTGTTATTTGGCTATCACCTTGGGTTTGTTCCAACTCCCTTCTATGAAGTATTTGTCCCAGCGAACAACATTTGCGTCAAAAAAGAATATAAACTCCCAGAAATTAAGTTCTTTGTTATTGTGCTTTAGGGTTGTTAAGAATTATCAAATAAAAATAAACATATTTTTATGCATTTTGTGTTATTTTTGTTCAGAGTGGTTAATGAAACTTTAGAAAGCATTTCTCTGGACCTTGGCTTCAGTGGAAGTACCCTTGCTGAAGGTACTTATAGTGCTGGATGTTCAGTTTTCTTATAAATCGGTCCACTACTATCCATTGTATCCTTTTCTGACGGGGAAATCCTTGGCTATTGAAGGTTTGGTGGTGAGTACATGTCTAGGGGGTGCTTTTCTTGGATCTGTATTTAGTGGTTGGATAGCAGATGGGCTTGGTCGTAGAAGGGCATTCCAGTTATGTGCTTTACCAATGATTATTGGTGCTTCGTTGAGGTAAATATTCCCGAGATTCTTATGTAATGTAATTTGCATATTACGTGATTATCTATCGCTGATCTGAAATAGTTGGAATATTCTACTGTAACATCTTTACACTGTATATTTTACTTGAGATGTGGCTCATTTTATGGTTGACATTTCAAAATTTTATGCATCTTGTGAGGTACAAAGTGTTGTGAGTTCCATGAAAGGCATGTCCACGTCAACCACAAACCATGAAAATGTTGGAATGTTGTATGTTTTATTACCTTTCTTTATCATCCCTGATTAGCAATCTCACCTTATCTGACCACACGCATGCAGTGCCTCAACAAGTACTCTTGGTGGTATGCTTCTTGGGAGATTGTTCGTTGGGACTGGGATGGGTCTTGGTCCTCCTGTTGCAGCTCTCTATGTGGCAGAGGTAAGACATCCGATGATATATTTTCATTTCCCTCTCAAGCAATAGACAATAGAATTGCCCATTTTCAGGTGTCACCAGCTTTTATAAGAGGCACTTATGGAAGCTTCACTCAGATTGCAACGTGTCTTGGAATTATTGGGGCCCTCTTCATAGGAATTCCAGCCAAAGATGTTCCGAGTTGGTAAGGGCCATGGCATAAAGTCCTTGTAGCTTGGTATTTACATAATTGTCTTCTTCCCAATCATTTCACACCACCATAAAGGGATGCAACCATTTTGGTTCTTTTAGTGAGCCAACTGCGTACTAGCTCTCTATATCCGTTGAAGATGAAACACGGACAACATAGGAGATTAGAGAATTGTTTTGTCCAACTTTGTATACTTGGTTTAATGTTGCGGCTACTAGTCCTATAGAAGGGCTGCTTAATTTCACGTTGTTTCTTTCTTGATGAATTTGATAAAACACTTAATGTGTATTATCCTTTGATTAATAAAACTATTTGATTACCTATAAAAAAAAATTAAAAAAAATAATGTTTGTACAAGATAAAAAGCTTATTCTTCTGTGGTTTGCCAGAGAGTTTTTACCAGATGTGAGCCCTTATCTGAGCTTCTTACTCTTAAAAGTTTTTTGCAGGTGGAGAGTTTGCTTTTGGGTATCTGTCATCCCTGCTTCCTTATTAGCTATTTTAATAGAGTTTTCCGCAGAGTCTCCGCATTGGCTTTTCAAGGTGATCCTTCAGCTGTCACTCTTGCTTGTAGACCACCTGATTGCATGTGTTTGGATGAGTGTCTATTGAGGTTCACCAATATGTTGTTGAATTTAAATGTTGACTTCAAACTATATAATCTGCTGTTTGAAGACCACCTTAGGTTTTTTTAGTTGCTTTTTATTCTAGGATCACTATTTTAGAGTTTAAACAACACAAAGAGTCATATCAAATGAATATTATGCAAATTACTTATGTTTAATCTGTTGCGAATCTGATATGGATTAGGCTTGTAAATGGATCGGATATAGATCGGATCTGCCTATATCCGATCCGATAATCCAACGGATATTCGATTGTTAAATCCATATCCGATTTGCTATGTTATCGGATATCGGATCCGATAATCCGATCCGAAATTAATACGAATTTGAGAAAAAAATCAATTTTGAAATTTTTTGAATCAACTTAAGGCCCACCTATTTTTACTAGTAAGCCCAATAGTGATATCTACCATCATGATGTTCCTTTTTAAAGGTGAGGTCATCTTTTAGTTTTCTATCGACATTCGATGTGGGATAAGATAAAATTGAATTTCAATTTTAAATATAAATATTTTATTTCATTATTCCAATTAACAAATCAAATTATTTGTTACATATTAATTATTAGTTTTTGAAGTTGTAAAATAAATTACAATAATAAATTTAATTAAGAAAAATATAGATATTTATTTACTTTAAATTAGTAAACTAAAATTTAAAAAATCTATTGTTTTTATAATATTTTATATTTATGTGTATAGTTATTTATTCAATTTGACAACCGGTTTGATACCGATTCGCCANTTTTTTTCTAATTTTTCAATTCTTAAACATGTTTAATAATTATAAAATTTTCAACTTTTTTATATTTTGAATTTGATTACTTTTTTATTCTAAATTTATTTATTTTCTCATTTATTTATTTTAGTGACAAATAATATGTCATAAAAATATTTTACCGACTCAATTATTTATAACAAATCGGATCAGACTGTTATCGGATTGACCTATATCCATATTTGATCCATTTAGTTAACGGATTATCGGATTCAGATCTTGATCAGGTTATCGGATTGAGACCCTAAATCCATCTTCCATTAATTCGTCAGATTCGAATGAAAATCCAATCCATTGACAGCCCTAATATAGACTAATGAATCTCACGATAAAAGACGAGTAGAGAATTTTTACACATCGTTGATCACTTTAGCATTTGATAATATTGTGTTCTTTTGTGTTACTAGTCGGGCTCCTGCTTTGGCTGTCAGAGTAAGATCACAATATGCGAGAATGCAACACAATGAAATAGCATGCAAGAACTAGACTTCTGTAGTTTGTCCCAGTTGTAATTTTCCTGGCACACTGGAGTTACTAAAGGCTTGGTTGATGTTCCTTGTCTTTTATTGTCCTACTAAATTTTTTTATCGAGCTTATGATTTGATTTTGGCTAGTACTGCCAGTTGATTGGAATCATACTGATTCTCAGTAACATGGAGTAGTCAATTATTTTGTTATTTCATTCTGAGGTTGCACCATGACAATTGTATCTCGATTGGCACAGAGAGGAAGAATTGCTGAAACTGAAGAAGCACTAGAGAAACTTTGGGGAACATCACACGTTAAATCTGCAGTGGCAGAACTGTCAAAATCAGACAGAGGGGATGAATTGGATACGGTTAAATTTTCAGAGCTATTCTATGGCCGTCATGTTAGAGGTACTATAATTATTAAGTTTTTTAAAAGTAATTTTTATTAATTTGTGTCAAGAATTGATAAATTTAGCGCAACTTCTTGTCTGCAGTGGTATTCATTGGGTCTGCCCTGTTTTCTTTGCAACAATTATCTGGTATAAATGCTGTATTCTATTTCTCATCGACTGTCTTTAAAAATGCTGGAGTTCCTTCAGATATTGGAAACATGTGTGTCGGAATAGTAAATTTATCAGGTGACACTATGTTACCATCTCATTTCTTGTCCCTTAATGCCCTTGTATCACTATAAACCCTATTCTTTTGTAACTTTTTGCAGGATCGGTTATTGCAATGATTTTAATGGATAAATTGGGAAGGAAAATGCTTCTTCTTTGGAGTTTTTTTGGCATGGCAAGTATAATATTCTTCATTCTATTTCTAGGGATCTTTTTGCAAGATTAACACAGTAACTCCTTCATGTTTAAACTTCATCCATGACAAAAGTGCACTATTTAGACCCGCCTTGAGAAGTCGTATGATTCAAGTTCCTTTATATCAAATTGACACAGTATTTATTGGTTCAGGCAATTGCTATGGGTTTACAAGGTATTGCAGCAAGTACCTTTTTATCAAGCTCTTGGAGAGTATACCTATCTATTGGTGGCATGCTGCTGTGAGTCTTCACTTGACAACTTTAAAATAGTAGCTGATAGTATTGTATTAGTAGCTGGTTCATTCATGGCATTTTCGGTAAGAAAGATTGTATATCAACACTAATCAGTTAAAATTTCGTTCATTATACTTTCCAGTATTGCACACCAAAGATGCACCTCTAGTACAAACTTAACATCTGTAGATGGAAGATTATGTTGTTCAGTGAAGAGCTGTACTTCCTTTTCACCCCCTAGAATCAATATAATCTTCAGGAATTTTTTTATTTAGGGTCAAATGTGTGTGTTTTATTTGTTTAATGCTTTAATATTCATCTCTAAACAAGGAGATAATACCCACCAATTACTTTGAACACATTCAGGTTACTATTACTTGCCACGAAAATTGTAGAATATGTTACAGACACATTAATGTTAGTTGGCAACAGAATTTACTGATTTCTCTCTTTCCCTCTCTTAATGCAGCTCTGTCACGACTTTTGCTCTGGGTGCTGGACCTATCCCTGGTCTCCTTCTCTCCGAGATATTTCCAAGCAGAATTAGGGCAAAGGCAATGGCTGTTTGCATGGCTGTTCATTGGGTAATTCCATTCTGCCTCTATTATCTTTTACATTCAGTTTTTTCTTTTCATTTTGTTTTAATTGAGCATTCTGTGTGTGGTGCTTGTGGTGTTAGGGTTAGGGTTAGGGGGGACTTCAATAAACATTTAGTACCTGTTTGGTACACACTGTTGGATTGTGGAACTATTGTCCAATATACCTTACCAAACATGCCTTAGGAGGTTATATTATTTTGAACTTTTTCTGCATTAGATACTTCCTTTTTGGGCATGACTGCAGCCTTTAATTTGCTTATGGTACATCATTTAACTCTTTGACATGCACTAGTTCAGTCTAGTTAGATGGAAAAAGTACTATCATATAGAGACATAATCAACACTTGTCTGACATTAATATAAATTGCAATTGTTGTTCTGCTTAATGAAGTCTATTCCTTCTATTTGGCATGTTCTTTAGCCATCCGGAGTTAATATCATAAATAGACTATTCTAATGCTAATTGTTGTGTTTTCCTTTTTATGGAAGTGCCAAACTCTTGATCTCCCGTTGCTTTTCTCATACTACTCTATGATGTCATGATCAGGTGATTAATTTCTTCGTTGGACTATTTTTTTTGCAACTGCTGGAGCTACTTGGGGCGCAAATTCTGTACACAATCTTTGCTGCGTTTTGCTTGATGGCAGTGGTCTTTGTGAAGAAGAATGTGGTGGAAACAAAAGGGAAGACATTACAAGAAATTGAAATTGCACTTCTTACATCTGATTAGGGTGTTTTTTCTGATTTTTGCCAAGGTAATTATTTTCTAATATTTGATTGTTCCATTTAGCTGATGCTGACTTGAAACGGTTGATCACATTGTTGATACACGTCGAAAATGTCAGGTGGTGTGTCCAAATTATCTTTTGGTTTTGTATAGTCACACATCACCGAACACATTGCCGACATGACGCCGGCATGTGTTGGAAACGTCTGATGATGTGTCCAAATTATTTTATTTTTGATTTTGTACAGTTGGCCATCACGGTTGGAGATATATTGCCCACATGTAGCGAGATACATTGTAGACACGGCATTATACTTTTTATTATTTATTTACTTTACGATAAAAAAATCCAAAAAAATCATATTATTTTAATCAGTTGTAGGGAACACGTCAGTACTTTTTTAAAAAACAGCGTGTCCGACACTCATGTATGTGTCGGAGCTTCCTATTATTAAGTTACTACCTGGTGAAATAGGTGTAGCAAGACATTGTTAATAAATAATTGATATATTAACAGATTTTCTAGCTCGTGGGCTCTGCCTACAGAGAAGGAACCGCTATTGAAAATTTGAGGATGGGCATGTCATTGAAATCCAGTGGAAGTAGGGATGCACTGAATGGATACAGAAAAAATTCATCAGTCAACTCATAATTTATTATGAATAAGGTTTAGTTTATTGCTGGGATAAATACTCTTTGAGTTTCATTTAGCCACCCAACTTAATCTCGTTCAATTTAGTGACTGAACGCTTTGCTGTACAGCCATGGGTAACAGTTCTGCTTACGTGACAGTCTGACAAACGCGATGTATTGTGTTTATTTTTGCCTTTAATATACTGAATTGGATGCCAAGTCTACAGAGGGTTGAAAAGAAAAAAAGAAGCAAAATCCTCCCGGAACCCCCCCCCCCCCCCCCCC